TAACTTATTGCTACAAAAGCATAAAATTGATCATCTTAAGATTTCCAATCGTGCTCCATCAGACACAAATCAAAAACCTTTCACGAACATAATAGGAGGGAAGCATATAGCTAAAATAAAGAAGCGAAATGGCAGACCGATAGAAACAAATATCAAAAGCTGGCTGGTTGATGGCTGAGAATTACCTTGACAGAGAGAAGCTGCTAGTGGAGTTTTCGCTGAAACGCTTTCGTGGGTCTGTGTGATTTAAACTGCCTTTTATACGCATAATGCAGAAGGTGATTTCGTTTGCTGGCGTGAATCGAGCTTGGGTTGGTAGCTGAAATTACCTCGACAGAGAGAAGTTGATAGTGGCATTTCTAGAGGAAGCACTTTAACACCCCAATTTCTTCGTTAGAACATTGCAGCCGCCGACGTCGAATCTCAGACATGGAGAGCAGGAGGATATGGGTGGATCTAGCTACCTCCGACACAATCCCTATTCGACACTGAATTTGCCCACTGACATCCACTTGGACGTCGTCCAACCACTGACATGCAAAACAACCGTTTGATCCTGGCTTCCCAATGAAAGGAGAGGACGGAGAACGACGATAGAGATGAAGGGAGCGGAGGAAGGGCCCTCTACGAAACATTTAGGCCAACAGTGGTAGACGACTAATGTATCAATCCCTAGCCTTTCTGACAATCATTGTTATCCTTATCACCCAACATTTTACTAAACTCATTACCTATTGCAAATTTTAGGTAGAGTTCCTACTAAAGTACACAAATCCCCCTACAACAATTTAATCAGAACCACTGGTTAGACATTCACTCATGGCAAATTTGAGAAACTGGTTCAAAACTCTACCATCCTAAATTTGAAAATAGTCAAGTGTAAAAATAATTTAAGTCCATCCAACTATACCTGAAATAATAAGAGATCCCACAGTACATCATCATATACAACTAACATTGCTATGTAAGTTAAGCATTCTAGGCAGGGGCGGATACATGGCCTCTAGGGGTGTCCCGGGACACCCCTAAAATTTGGGGAAACGATTATCCAACCTCCGGTAGTATTTTCGTATGTGTATACAAAATATAATTGGTAATCCGGGACACCCTAACATTTGAAAAAATGATTATCCTACCCTCGATAATAGTTTGCTTATGATTAATAAAATATAAGTGGTAGTCCGTGTTATTCCAACCTAGGACACTACTATTATCAAACATATTCCAATTATGTTGCTACTCATTTGTTATTCTATTTTAAACATCATGCAACAGTAAAACGCTATTTCTTTATCCCCAACTATTTTCAATACCTAATAATTAAACTACGTACACACTACCCTTAATTTTGAATTGATTTTATGGTTACATGGCAAGTGTTGAAAGAGTCTTTTCTACTTTGAGCTACATTAAGAACAATGTTAGAAATCGAATATGTGATAAGTTCGTGAAGTATTGTCTAGTAGGATATGTAGATTTTTTGAACAGTGCAGGCATGGAGTTTATTTATATTATTTTTTCAAAATATGAATTTTAATTTATTATTTAATAAAAATTATACAAGTATGATATTTTTAATATACGAATTATTTAATTTATTATATAATTAAATTTAATTTTTGAAGAGGACACCCCTGTGAAAATTTTCTGAATCCGCCACTGATTCTAGGAGCTAGGAAATATGTAGCCTAATGTAGTAGTGTTGCAACTTGATTAGAAGATAGAGCCATAGATAAAAGACGGGAAGAGATAGTGTATATATATAGTTATTGTTAGAAGGCATGATGATTTGCATGATGCTCCATGCATAAAAAGAAATGGAGTCACAAACTTGGTGAAGTATTCATACTAAGTGACTTAGCAAAATAAAACGTGTAGGTATAGAGAAACACACAATCCACTCAGCTATAATGCGTATAAAGTCATCGATAAACCTAATTGAACATTCATGAGAATAAACATTCAAAAACTCGATCATCTGTGCATCACTTTCTGAATTCACATGGACCTTCCTCTTTAGTGACTCGACTAAAGGTGTTGCAATATAATATCATGGTTCGCTTGATCAATTTTGGTGCATTTGGCAGCATCAAGGTCACCAACTTCATGTTCACTACTAATATTATGGGAGCTTTAGGCATTAATATTTTTAGTATCGAGCAAAGCTTATTGATACATCCACACAACCACCCTATCCATTAAAAAACACGAAATATATGTAGCTCATTAAGCCATGGAGATTCAGGAAACACATATACAATGCAGTGACAATACTAAACCACATAACTCAACTTTTGAACGCCACAAAGTTTGGCAAAACTACAAAGATGTAGAGATAATAATAACTTAACAACTTTACCAAAACTCATACCCCCAACACTGTCTAATTCTATTATAATAATAAAAGTACCTATATAGCTAATTGAGTACTACTTTTCCTTACCTAAACTTATGTAGGGAAGCTATGAGAAACTTCAAATCAAGAATAGACACAGCAAAATAAAACACCATGACAGAATCTACAAAAGGCATTCATCCTTTGTTGGTGGCCAGCTTTTAATTTCCCTAGAAATTTATTAGTTTCCAAGAACATAACAAACAAAAAAGGCCCGGAGGAGAAATCAGTTGTGGAACAGAATACTCTACATAATGATATGATAAGATGAATGCATCAGATCTATGTTTGAGACATAACTTAGGCCTATCAACTCCGAGAACAACAGGCTGAATTTCAAATGAGAACACAAAACTTTAAACTAAACATTGTAGATTCTAATTTTTCACTAATTGTCTTATGATACTAATGCTAAACCCTTATCATTTCTAGCAAATCCTAAGTTTTTGTCATGAACAATAAAAATGAAGGTATCTCACAGAGAGTGAGCCAACCCATGGTATCCCAAAACCGAAGCAGGAAACTTTGGGCATTCTCATTTAAAAAGAACACCAAAAGAAAACACATGTTTATTTTGTGAGACAACTTATCCTGCTGCCACTCACCAATACAAACTAAAAAAGCACATCTCATGAGAATATGTAAAGCATGGTAAGGTTTATCCCACCACTGCTAATGTCACAGTCTGCGCCAGTCATGACACCTTCCAAATTGAAAGCTGAAGGAAAGAGCAAAGTACCAACTTGCACGCCACGACGGAGGGAGACAGTGCAAGTGGCACCAGCAAATCCGACGATGGTTAAAGCCGAAAGCTTGATTAGAAAACTCAAAAGCGAAAATAGGGGTGGTGGGATCCAGGGACGAAGAGGGGCAACCCGGTCTCCCGAAAACAGGGGCGGAGAGAATAGTAGGAGAACATCGAATGTGGGGTTTCCAAAGGGTAACATTAGTGCGACATGCCTGTAATTCAAACATGGAGAATAGAATACAAAGAACAAAACAAAAAATGAAACACAACAAAAAAAGGAACAATAAGAATCTGAACATAAAAGAATAGAAAAATGAACCACGATGGAAATCAACAACAAATAAAGCCCGCAAAAGAAAAAGGTTAGATAAAATCGACTGAAGGTGAGCGAATGACATGCCCACAGTTCATAGCACCGGATCTGAACATCCCGACAACAGATGAAGTTGTGACTGGTTAGCGAGCCTCCTTTGTCCTTTGTTCCTCTCCAACCAGAATTGCGAACTATTTGACGTCAAAATCGAGCGCGTGGCCCTCTAGCTGGTTCCCCTTTTGCTGTTGCTCGGTTGCCATTCACTCAGTCTTGGAGAATAGCGTCGTCGACTATATCCATCAACAGGGAGCAATCCAGAACGGGAACTGGAGAATCCGAGTAGAGAAGGCCCCAATAGGCGAGGTCACACAAAAGAGATTTTGAATTTGCTCACCGACGAACCAAAATTGGAATCCCCACCTCTGGCCGTTGCAACTCAGAAACCTAGATCTTCCCCTTTCGTTGCCTGATACCCGAGTTTCCTTTGCCGACGAAAAAAACAAAGGAACTGATGCGAAGGGGAAGAGGAAGGAGCTTTGCCTCTGGATTTTGTTGTTTTGCAAATAAATACAAATTAAATGAGAATGTGGGCCTGGAAGGAGAAAAAGGTGGGTAGTGGACAGTTTTTTGGTTCTAAAATCAGGCGGGACTCTTTTTTTTTTCCGCTTAACACTCTGTCACATCAGCTTCCTAAAATCACTCTATGGACAGGAAATTTTGAATGGGGGTGCAGTTTTATTTTTCAGCTATAAATTATACTGTCGATGATTGCCCTAAAGCGCGCATGTCTGCTTCTATGTAGCTATACCTATACATAGCTCAAAATCGTCTTTTCCTCTTTTCTTCACGGGTGGCGCTACGCCTACACGTGAGGATTTGGAAATCCGATAATTGGGCTGGTTTTAAGTTCCATGCTGTAGTTTGGGCTTTTAAGTTTGCTTTGCTGATTGGAGTGGACAAGCCTAAAACGACCCCTTTATATTTTCTGCTCTCCCTTCTTTTCCTGCCTCAGCACAATACTTATTTTCCCCCTCTTGCACACTGCTTTATAACAAGAAAATAGCGGTTTCCTTAATTATTCTAGCCACTCGAACACGTATTCCTTCGTGTAAGAGCTAACCTTCCTGAAAAATCTCCTACCGAAAAAACTTGCCTGCATAAATTTTGAAGGACCTTAGTCGCCGATGGCATTAAGCAAGTCAGAAACGGGCAAAGCGCAGAATCATACTGAACTTTCTAAGTCTCCCTTGCCACCACATGACCGTCCAAGAGAAAGAGTTCTTCCTATGAAAGCACTTTATGTTTGCAGCTGCCTTACAAGTCTATACAGGTACCAGTTTTCCGGATGCTCACCATACAAGTCAAGCATCCATAACCATAAGGCGTGAACTTAGTTAAAAGGAGTCTTCCAAGTAATCACCTCACAGCAGAGACAAACAGTGGAACAGTAGAAACACAGCGACTTACTAGAACAGAAACGCTTACATTATATATTCATCTGCTCGCATAGGGGCTTTGTGAAGAGAATTCGTCTGCTATCATCATCAGTATCCAAACGAGCCAGAGGCCAGGTCTGGAGGCCCACCGCTGATGCTTCTCTGGCTTGGATTGGGGCTGAACGACTCGACCCCTTGCTGCCCCATCTTCACTACATCCTCTGGTGACAGTATCTTGATATACCACACGTTGTTTACAAATGCGCTGCAAAAAATAGTTTCCAGAATCAAAATCCTTAAACATTGGATAGCAACACGATCGAATAAGATTTGGAGTGCTTCTTTTCAAGGGCCGCTTTTACTTACTCCCACGGACCGTCTCCAAGGAGAAGAACATCATTCTCCTTGTCGACGAATACAAGCTGCCAGCCTGATCTATGAGGGTTTTCCAATTTCCCCTCGATTCCAAACATCTGTGCCAGTTCCTCCCGCAGCTCATGATAGTTGCTGAACCGGGAGATGTCCAATGACCGCCCAACCGACCCGGACTTATAAACCTACGCCAAAAGTACCTACCATCAGTATGAACAGCAACCCACATTTGTACTAGTAAACTCAAAAGGACATTGAATAGAGAGAACTTCAACTCCAAGATTCAAACCTTGACAAATGTTGGCCCTCCATTTAGTGACTCAACCGGCCCTGTACCAGGTAAGAAGTCGGAAGAATCTTGTTGACAATAAAGAGAATTCTGAAACCCAGCCTCGCTTAAAGGCATTGATGACACATCAGGATCGCTCAAAGATGCCGTTGCAACTCTAGGTACAGTGGTGGGCAGGAGGAGTCCAGAAGATTCAATGTTCATTCCAAAGTTGTTTGGACTCTGGGCCTCGATGCTACCATTTCCCAGTTTCGGTGCAGAATCTTTGTCAGCTGGATAGAGGTTTGGGTGGGACATTGAACCTGTAAAGGCATTCACTTGTGCCTGTGTGTATTTCGGAACCCAGGGTTCTTGGTTAAGCTGTTCAGTCATAGACGACTGACCAATTCTGGTCAAGTCCAAAAGGTTGCCACTACCTTCAGGACCCAGAGAACCCAACATGTTCTGTATAGTACTTGTAGATCCCAGGAATTTGGTGCTCGGGTCAATTAAGTCTGTCTTGGAGAAGGACGGAGAATGCACACTTGACTGCCCTCTGTGAAGCTGGTCATTTTGAATTTGAAGCGGATCTTGGTAACTAGGCTCTTGCTGCTGGGACTGATTGTCTGGTTGATTGCCGAGCTGCTGTTGCTGTAGGAGATGCTGGGGCAAGCCATCACTTGAGACTGGATTGTGCGCACCAAGAATATTAGGAGAGACTGACTGTTGGTTCGCTTGTTGCTGTTGTAGGTGCAACATAGGGTGGTAGTTATTGCCTGAATGCTGCTGATACTGCTGCATAGGAGGCTGCTGCTGAAACTGCAGGAATTGTTGCCTCATGGGATCTCCATTTCCTGTGCCATTCAAACTTGCTGCCAGCATTGCCTGGTACCACTGATTCTGATCAGTCCTAAGCAATGATGGATCCACCCTCTGCTGCATCCAGGGCAACATGTTGACAGGTTGAAAATTCATAGGAGGAAGACCATCCCCGGTACCACCTCTCATCCACATTAGGCTGTTAACATTTTCATCTCTCGAGTCTGCAGGATAAACCTTGCATCAGAGAAAGAAAAAGCCAAATAACACAACCAGGAACTGGATTTTTAGATTCTGCGTAGCCGACAAGAAAGCAATCAAGTACTTCCCATTTATGTTTTTCACAATTTCAGCTTCACTTTGACCATCAGCAAAGTTCCAGAATCACAATTGGCAAACTATGTTTACACAACTTATAGGAAAGCAAGTTCTCCAACAGAAAAGCTGTGTTCAACCTACTTTTTAAGCTGGGAATTCTAAGAAAATTTTCTTCCAGCATTTCCGCAAAAAGCTAAAAGTATCTGAAGTTCAAGCTTCTTCTAATTAAAAGTACCAGTCAAATGAGATGAAGATGAAAGATACTAGTATCACAAGACTAATTGCATTGGGACTTAATATTTCCAGCACAACTGTAGATGACCAATTACAATCCCCACTAGTTACCTAAAAAATAAGGTAAGGCAAGCTTATGTACAATCTCGATCATACAAGTTCCAAACAAGTGATCCAAAGAATGCACTTGGCTCAAAAACTAGGGTTCTGAGTTAGCAGCTGTTGAGAAGATTGCCAGATGCCAAGCCGGACAAGAATAGACAAGTTCGCACCAAAGGGAAAGTATGCAGAAGGGTTACAACAAGTCATTTTCTCATTACTTTGGGTCTCTCATTTTCCATTTTTATTGGCATTACTATAGTGGGATTTCAAAACAAAAACAAAAAAGGCTTCATTTTTTAAGCTTCTCATTACCCGCAGGAGTCCCACTGGCGTTAGCACCATTTTTAGTACTCCTTGAGCTAATCCCTCATTGTTTTCGCGCATTAAGCTCAGGAATACGCTTATTTGCTAATATGATGGCCGGTCATAGTTCAGTAAAGATTTTAAGTGGGTCCGCTTGAACTATGCTATGTATGAATGATCTTTTCTATATCATAGGGGAACCTGGTCCTTTACTTATAGTTCTTGCATTAACCGTTTGGAATTAGGTGTAGCTATATCACAAGCTATTGTTTCTACGATCTCTATTTGTATTTTACCATGTGCATAATCAACTATCTTTCACACTAACAGAAATTGTAGTTCCACTGCTAATTATACAGCAGTTTCAGTTCTCAAGTAGTCGCAACAGTACATGAGGTAAAAGAAAACAAACACGAGTAAGAAGAAAGTCAATACCACGTGCCAAATAACAACCAAACAGAGGGTTAGTGTCACATGATTACCAGGAAAAGATGAGGATCCTGGATGCCAAGGTCGTTTCAATCTGAAGGGGAATAGGGATGGATACATTGGGAAAGTGGTCAAAGGCTCTATTTCCCATAATGACACCCTAGGCTGCCTTTCACCTGCTGTTGACTCATCCCAACCAACCTGAATGTAGAGGCAAATGACAAAGGTAAACCAAGCTGAACTGCCGAAGTCAGGAATAAAAGAATTGCATCCATGAATTTGCTGGTTCAGAAAAGAGTAACAGTTTCATTGTTTATAGTACATTCTAAAGTTCCAGACACCTAATTCAGTCTCTCATTGAAAAGCATATAACTAATCATCAAGTAACCTTACACTTGTCTGGAATTTATCATAATTACTGGTTTACAATTTGAAAGCACACTATGATTAGGTTCAGAACACCAAACATCATGTCATCCTTTGGATCAAACTTAACAAGAGAACATCAAGTGAGCACATGCGAAATATTCTACCAAATACTGGATTTTTCCAGACATAATGCTGAGACCACGCAACAAACCACCTCACAAACTTTTCTCAAATGAAATTTTCTTAAGCGAATTCCGAGCATTTATGGAGTATTTCATGGAAATGCAATACAGGATAGTTCACAGAGATGAAAGATACACAAAATGCTTTACTCAAGGTATAGGTTTCATCCCTGCTCTCCCAGTGGCCAAACAGAATGAGAAACAGCACAAAATGGGCAACTCCAAATCCCATAAGATCAGTACCCTTGTCCCTAACACTCATAAGCTACTTAAATAGCAAAAAGAAAATAATATGAAGCAATATATAGGCCAGTTGCAATCTAGAGAAAGAATCTAATAGTGAGAATATCAAAGGCACTGGAACAATTCTAATACAAATTATGTTCAATTACCTTCACAGATCGCCAATGAGAATTAGGCCAACGAACAGGGTCCAGATCGCTTATGCCTGTTATGGTTCCCATGTACCTAACAAATAGACCTCTTAAGGTGAGACGATAATTGTTCCTATGCATTCAATGCAACAAAACAAGTCCGGTAGTGGTGGCAACATAGACCCACATATAAATGCTCCTTAGAATTCATTATGCAGCTAAGGGAGAGTAACACAAAATTATCCTGGCACATTCTTTTTCAGTAAACTCAGAAGCAAATAAGGAACAGGTCGGACTGAAATCTCATTATCAGATGCAGTTCAAGTTGCAAGCCAAATCTAACAATGGAAGGACACACTACATGAATCACATACATAATTGTAGCATGAAAAGTGCCCATCTCATGAGCATAATTGAACTTCTTTATATTAACTTTTCATTTTTATCAATATGCTCGAGTGAATAAATGAAAATATCCTGATCTTGCACTATGCAAAGCAATACTCATTCTCAAAACAAAACACTAAACTGCACTCTGGAAATAAACAATCAATTTCCACAATACCTACGGACACTTGATTCTTCAGTCTCAAAAAGCATCCGAAACCGCATCCCAACAGAAACACGTGTGTGATAGACAGCTTTCACATATTTGGAAAGGGGTATTACAAACTCACATGGACTAGCCCTGCATCAAGTAGACATATTAGATAGAAATACAAGTTAACTGAAAGAAGAAAGAAAAAGCAGGTTCAAGACCTTGGGTTGTAGAAAACTGTAAAACAGCTATTAGTTGCTGCAGCATGAGCAGCGGCAGCAAGAAGTCCAATATGCATGCTATCACTGGAAAGCACTGATGAAGGCATCACAGTTTGTGGCCGAGTAGCCCGGCGAATTCCAAGAAGAAGCTGATTTTTCTCGTTCCTAATGACATTGATTAAGTTAGATATAGGCCAACCCTCCATCTGATGAGAATTGAGATGTCCGAATAGATAGAGCCCACTGAGATTATCAAAAGGACTAAAATTAACTTTCGAAAATTGGACTTCTGTACAGAGATACCAGATAAAGAGCACCGAGTCCCCTGCCACAAGTCTTTTTGCACTGACGAACACGCTCCACCCTGTTGTAAGTAGATGACGTTTTGGCTGTCCTGGAATGTGCGCAGCAAGAAATGCAACCTTTAACCAGAGTTAACACAGTACACCATTTGGAAACACCATCCTCCATGGAAAATATACTATAATACGATACATCACTTGGAATGCAACACTTTCCAAAATTATCTATTTACAAGTACGACAATTTAAAGCAACTGCTTTAAAGCTATGCTACTCAGGGTTCTCTAACTAATAGACAACAGACCAAGAAGTTAAACGAATGTACACTTTCCCTCTAGAAAGAAGTCCACATTCAAATAAGCATAAAACAAGAGGATTCATCTAAGAAACCCCTGTTAGATATCCCACAGAAGACTTTATTGATTTTGTTGGCTATTCACATAATATCACGAGTAAGCAGACAACAAAATAAAATAACAATAGAATGAATCACTACAGGTCTAAATCCTGGCAGAAGATTCCACTAAAATTTCAGAATTTCAATTATTATGCCAGACAGTCCTTCCGTGAAGGTAATATCCTAGATTCCCGGGCATGGTGTCAATGAAATGCATATTGATAGAGGCGTGTCCCCATAGCCTAATAGTAAACCAAAGATGAAGTCAGTCGCTAAGTATTATGCCAGACAGCCCTTCCATTGAAGGTAATATCCTAGATTCCTAGGCATGATGTCAATGAAATGCATATTGATAGAGACGAGTCCCATAACTAATAATAAACCAAAGATGAAGTCAGTCGCTAATACATAAGAAACTTCTTACTCTATGACACATCTCCTTTGCTAGCATGATTGAAAAAGTACACCAAAGCTTCAACAGGACAAGCAACAATAAGAGACTGCCTTATCATGCAAAACTAGTTAAACAATCTAATTTTATTACTAGCATCATCAATGGTATATATCATATTGATAACATTTCCACGATGGCATTAGTAATTTAGGGAGCCCCTCAGAATCGTAGAAGATCAAATCCTTGTGAACTAAATTAATGGCACTACCGCAGTATTCTTTTGTTAACTCTCATAAAAACAATAGAACATTAGGCCCAAAGACCAGAGAAAAAGCACTAATACTGATAACACAAATGGAGTTGAGCAAAACACAAACGCTTAACCAGGAAATTTTAACAGATCAAGTCAAAAGCATAACATATTCGAATGGGCAGCAACTGCCACAGGTGACTAGTAGAGTCTTAGAGGAAAGGTCCCCAGGGCAATGACAGAGCTCATCACTAATTCCATCTATAGGTTACAGGTGACAAGTACAAACTTAGAGCAAAGGTTCCCAGGGCAGTGACAGAGCTCATCACTAATTCCATCTATAGGTTCTGAAATACAACAGCCCGGACCAACTTTTATCAGACAATACAATGCCCAGACTATGCAGCTACAACAGAAAACATGGCAGATTTGGATAGAACATAGTTTGTGGCCATGTCGTAACTTTTTCCTCCCTGGACACTGATGAAGATCCCGGTAAATGTTCTAATGAAGACAGGAATAAAACAATTATAGGTGATCAATGCTATCACACCTCTGTAACTGCTGTGATTGCAGAAAGAACTTCCTCATTCATGTTATAAATTCAAGTGTTTGCTGATTTATGAGATTTCCACATGTATAGTAAGCACTAAGCATGGCATTATACATATTGAGACTGGAGCTTTGCATCAGAATACAGCAAATCAACGTCGACAAAAATACCAACCTCGAAAGATATGCCTGAATTTCCATTCTACATCATGAAGATCCCTTGCAATGAGCTCTTGAGCGGGCGGCTGTTGTGAGAAATCCTGCACAGCAAAATGATTGACACAAGAAATCAGGAAAAGAATAACTGCATCAAGTTTAAATGTGTCAGAGCATAATAAAGATTATACCAGTGGTGGGAAGACTTTCTCGGCAGCACGTCGAGGGACAGAGAATCCACCATGTGTACTAGTATCACTAGCTGTCAATGTCTTACAGAAATAATTGGTAGGCTGCTTACTAGGCATACCCAACTCCATGGGAAGAAAAGTATCCTTCTGTTCTTCCTGTGGATTCAATGATGACAGATGTGACAGTGCACTCAGACTAACATAAGGATGCACTAGGAATCTGCAATTGAACTTCAAAGAAACATTATGTTGAGAAACAAAGATGCCACATTACCGGAGTCAAAGGCTGCAATGTCATCTGGGCATACACTTCATCTGTTTCCACATCTGCCTAAATATCCAAGCAAAGGTCCATCACTTAGCAATACAATCTTTCGTTAGATAATAAAGAGGGAGTAACCAAAATACTTGCAGACAGTATGAGGGTGGAAAACTAAAAGTGGAGGAGTACAACAATCCTAACTTAAACTGGTTCCAGCTAAATTTATGGGTAAGATGAAAGAACCAGTAGAACTTCACACGAAAAAAAGAAGGGATATAGCACTCACATGCATGGTAACATTGTGCAGCTGGCATATCAACTGTGCAGGCAGGCTAGGATAATTTGGAATGTGCCCATCAACTTCCTTGTTAGTAGTGGCAACCACCTGCAATCCATGTAGTGCAACTAGTTAGTCCAAACTGTTCCTTTCGAATTCTTTTATTCTCAGAACAAACGGCATGAACTAGGGGATAGAAGAAAGGAGGACCTGCTCACTGTGTCCCTGAGGAAAGTAGACCACACGGCTTCCCACTGTGGGTAGGGACACAAGTGGTCCAGCGCAGGCATGCCACAGCTCTGAATTCAAACATTTCTTCTCTCCTGGCATCATTATATCCACAATGGAATGAAGAACCAGTATTGGAGAGGGTATGACGCAGAGAACGAAAATGACAGAGCCGAATTTGATCACTTTAAAATTCTCTAATCATCACACCGGAACCTCAAAAAATCGGCATAAATGGCAAGCCAGGACAAAGAAACCTCATACGGGAAAACAAAGATCATTGGGAAATTAATTATTAACCCTCTAGAAGAAAAAAAAATGAAAATAAAGAAGATACCTTCTTGACCCTGCTGACTCAACCCTGACGTTGAAAGCTTCATCTTCCACTTTCCCGGCTCCTAGTTTTTTTTTCTGTTTTCTTTATTTTTATCCTTGCCCTTTTTTTGGCCCGGGCTTCCTTGATATTCACTTAAAAATTGACCAGAAAGAAGAAAAGATTCGAGGGGAAAAAAAAAAAATCGCTAATCAATTAAATGAAACCCTCCCTAAGAGCTGGGATCCGCATTACCTCAATCACCTTCCAATGCAGCAAGCAGCACATAGTCTTCTCACTCAAACCCTCACGCCACCACAACAACCAACTCAAATTTCTCTTTCTCACTTTCCCAAAATCGCCTCCAGTTCCGTACTGCAGAAATTCCCAATTCGAAAACCCTAACTCCCTTACGCTTGCAGCACCAGGGGGGAGGAAATGCCGAGAGAAAAAAAGAAAAGGAAATGAAGAAAGCTAGGGAATCAAACCAAGCCCAAATCCATGGCGCGACTCTCCACTTCCCACACCTAGTCAGGAACAAACTTTGACCATTGCAGCGAAACGCACTGAAGCAAATTCACGGGGAGCAGCAATCAGTGAGAAGAGAGAGCTAGTACAAAGAGTAGCTAGCCACAAAAGCTACACGCCGTTCGAGATCACCATGAGAGAAAGGCAGAAGTAGCCAAGGGAAGAAGAAGGAGCGGTGAAAACTAGAGTGAAAAAAAAAAAGGAAAGGAGGTGGGGAAAAAAAAGGAAAGCTACTATTTCCCCTTTTTCACCCGCTTGCTTCACTTCTCCCTCTGTCTGTTTCAGTGAGTCCGCGAGGAGAGAGCAGAGCAGAGCAGAGCTATCACTTTCTCGATTGAGAATCGAGCTCGGTGGCTCAGGGAGCTGTGGACTCAGTTGCAGTAGAGAGAGAGACGGAGCCTTTTTTTATTATTAATAATGTTTTTTTTTTTTTTTTGCCTTGCCCAGCAGATATAATAATAAGGAGAGCCGACCAGAGCTGGACCGAGGTCTAGAGAGAGAAAGTTAGGAAGGGGGGAAAGTGGAGATCTGGACCGTTGAGGGGATCCGTACTGGGAGGCGCCGAGCCGTTGATTTGGGAGGAATGATATGACACCAGGCATGTGCCACCATGCCTCAGTGGTCGCTGTCAGGTTGTACGGATTATGTAAAATATTATTATTATATTATTATCTCTTGAAATATTTGGACATGGGGTTTTTTATTTTTATTTTTCCGCTCCCAATCCAATTCCAATGTCGGGTTAGGAGTTAATTAAGGAGAGCGCTGACGCTGAGTTAGAGCATGATTATTTTGTTTTCTTTCTCTCTAGTCTTAATTAAATTTTCCAATTCTTGTATCAGATTAATATTTCATTTTTGGGGGCTTAACGAAAACGTTTCTCCCTAATAATTAAAAAATAAAATGGTTTTTGTTTCTGATTATTTGCACGCTCTGTCAGCTCTACTGAAAACCCCCTCTCCTAGATTTGGTCATATTTGGTCAATTGAAAAACTATATAAAACAAAGTGATTTATACTGAGGTTGGTCTGGTTTTGGTGATAGTTCTTTTAGTATTCAACAAGTTACATTATTTTTTGTGGGAAAGGTTACTTTTGCCCTTGTTTTTATTAGAACATACGTATAAAACTAGGGTATAATTATAACAAAAAAGGAACCCAACAATCTACTAAAAACTATCTCAACAATCTCAAATTTTAGTAGAGATATTATTATCGCTCATTATGAGTGATAGTTTTCATCACATCAAGCAAACAGTACATGTATTGTCTGTGCATAAAATTAAAAAAAAAAATAATGCATTGTAGACAATGCGTGTATTGTAACTATCTCAACCAAACAATCACCAAAACCAAACGACCTCTATGTCCATGTGAATTATATGAACCATCAAATTTGAATTATAAGTCCCTCTCGAGAAGCTAGAATTGACTCAAAATAAGACATTTGAGTAAAATTGATAGATTCTAATTTCCTATTCAAGTGGACTTTAAATTGATTACTATTGATGGTTGTGGATTCTCTCACTCTCTACCATTTTCAATGATAGGTGGGGAAAGTAAGAACTTTAGATCCAAAAAATGGGTAACTTGGGTATAGAACCACAATGGGAGAAAACCAACTCCAAAGTCGAAGACACTCCTCTTTATTCTCTGCTCCTCAAGTATCTAGCTAGATGATTTGTCTTCCTCCTCTATGAGAAGTTCCAAAGATCTTCCCTGATGGTGAAAAGTCACATTATCTATTTGAAAGTATCTCTGGAAAGCTTGATGAAGTCCTATCATGGAGTTATTACACAGCTTGGGCATCTCCTGCTACTAAGGAAGTTAAGGTTGTCTAATGCCCCTGCATATGAGACAACTAGAAAGCTTACATCCCCTATAAGATGCATGCTAATAAAGCAAAAGCATCCTACTAATTACTGGAGGAGGTTTGGAGCCCCTCAAACAGATGACGCATTCAATACAGGCGAGAACTCTGCATCAACCATAATGCCTAGTCAAATCTCACCTACAACTACGTTAAATGTTGGCTCTGAAGAAGGGAAGTTCACTACCAGATCTATAAGAGCATACTCAAAACAATAACCACCAGTATTTCTACCTTGGTGCTGCAATCTTAACTTCTCCAGCAACTGAAATCATCTTTCCAAAACAAGTATGAACAACAATATGAGTATTAATGATCTGATAAACCAGGTTAGAGAGTGGGATCTTGAGATGGTACTAGATGAAGAAAGAGCCACATGATACAATACCTTGGTGGTGAAAATATTTTTTGATCGACAAATCAGCCTACGTGCAATGAGGGGTATGATAAGATCATCTCGAGTTGACAACTTCAAGCCAAGACTTCAAGGGATGCCCAAAATCCATCCTTTGGAGTACAACATCTTCACCATCCACTTTAAAGAGAAGATAGAGATGGAGGTCATATAGGAGGAGCGCCCATATCCAATTTCTAGTACTCTGATGCAGATTAACAGGCTAACTGGCTTAAAAATGCAAGAGACATATCCTTCAAGTTAGTAATTTTATGGATACAGATACACAATCTTTCATAAGCCTACCGCGCTGAGGGAAATATCACTATGGTGTGTAGAATGTTCCATAAGGTCACTGCCATTGACATAGCTGCTCTTTAGTCTCATATCTACAGTAAGTTTGTGGGAATTTTTTTCAAATGCGACATCTACAAACCAATTTCAAACGGGTTCTACATACGCCTCCATCAAAAGAGAACATGGATTGAGATTAAATATGAAAAAATCTACTCACTATGCTACTATTGTGGAAGGATTGAACATACCAGATTGATTGTGAGTTGAGAAAGAAGCAGGAAGAAGAGAGGTTGTCTCGTCCCCTGACTTAAAGATGGGGTCCTTGGACGAGGGCTAGTTCGCCACCTTTCTCAACACGAACAAACCAACAGGAGGAGGTGGAGCGATTCTCGGCAGAGATGCGACGTCGACCTCACACTCCCCTGCGGGACAGTCAAACCCATTGCCGGTGAGTACTATTGCCGAAGATTCCCAACCCCTAAACCAATTGACCCCACCTTCATCGATTCGCTCGCCTACCTCGTTCCAGTCGCCAATTTCAAGCTACGGTCAGAACTTCCCGTTGCTAAAGACAATTTCCCTTTCCCAATTTATTCTCTCTCCCCACAGATTTTCTATGCGTTTGGTCATAATCAAGAGGGAATTTCTTCCACTAAGCTAGGATTGAATGTCGCTAGAAACCTATTTGGAAACATCTCTCCTTCCAAATTGTCGCCAACCTTCCCTAACTTTTCATAGCCACCCTAATCAAACTTCTGGGCTTTTCAACCCTAACCCTAGCCCATTTACCATTCCAGCGCACTCAAACTACATTGTAAACCAAACTAACTTTCAAGCTGGCCCAAGCTCAGCTCTCATCCCAGGCAGAGTCATAACACGAGGCCACCATCCTAAGGCGTGAACCATTAGCCCCCGCACTCAAAAAATAAAAGGAAGACTGAATCAATACTGGATGTTTCTGATGGAGAACAAGGGACTCCCTACTCTGGCGCGGGTGAAGAGGATACAGGGAAAGCAAGGTCGACTGATGATACAGAGTTCCCCCCACGATTGGAACCCAATCTTTCTACGGTTATGGTGACCGGCCCCAAGCCACCGGGTGGCTCATGAATGCTTTGGTTTGGAACTATAGAGGCTTCGGGCAGAGCCCTATAGTTTGACAGTTGAGAAAGATGGTGAACGAATTCCGACCATCATTTATGTTTCTGTCCGAGACTAAGAAGAAAGATTCATATATGGAAACAAGAGATAACGTATGAGGTTTGCTGAGAAGTTCTATGTCAATCCAGTGGAGAGAGCTGGTGGTCTTGCATTGTGGTGGATTTCTAATTTACGTACGGGATTGGGTATCCGTCTCGTTTGAAATGGGTACCCGATCCCATTTGGAGAGAAAACTCCATCCCATGTCACAAACCCGTACGTGTTAACGGGTACCTACGGATAACCCATAAAGTTGGGTGGTTTTCATTATTTTGGCTTTTTCTTCGGTTCTTTTTTACTGGGTCCAAAGAATTCCACTCAACTCGGAGACTCATCTAGTGGAGACTCCGATCCCGGCGATTGCTGACTAGTTTTGTGAGAACACAACGCCAGGGCCTTACTTCAAGGCTCAAGAGATGATGATGATGATGATGATGATGATCTCGTAGCTGAAGACTTACATAGCTGCTGGCGAATAAGCTTCTGGTATGCGTGAGAGGTTGGAGGGAGATGGCATTGAAGTAGATGAGGAACTAAAGAAGTTGCTTGATATGGTAGAGGCAGCATGAGTTTGAAGAAATCTTGAAAGTTGATTGTGTGAACTGTTTTTGTTCTTTCTATTTTCTGGGAATTTCCAACTACGTTATTGTAACTTGAGAAGCTCCAGTGAAGTGGAAAAAGAATGCCCAATTAATGAAGACACAAGAGAAATATTTACAACCACGAACAACTTACAAAGTTGCTAATGTTCTAGATCGGGGATAAAATATGTGGTGCAT